TGTTCAGCATCTTAGCTGTGGAGGGCAGTGTCACTGGCCTTCATATGTGGGATCTGAACCGGGGCCCTCTGGCGTCCCAAGCCAGTTCTTAACCAACGCGCCACTCGGCCGGCCCTGTATTATATTTTTAAACTAAAGTTTACTTAAGCCAGAGCACTCACCTGTCCAAAGGAATTTTGATGGATTTTTCTCAAGTAACATAACCTTGGTAAGAATTATGGATATGGATATTGTGAGTCTTTATCAAGCAGACACCAGATGCAACATACAACATGAAGCCTAAGTGACACTTCTCAGTCACCTCTCACTCAGGTGTGTCTGCAGTTTCGGTATTCACAGCCTTGGGCCGGGAAAGCAAAGGCTGCTCTCACCTCACTAACTGGCCTAGGACGTGGCTTTACCTCTAGGAAGGACATTCCCCATCAGGAGATGCTATGGCTACAGGGGTTAAATTAATCCCTCGGAGCGACGTGAGAATTCGGCCCACACGGCAGTGGCATACCTTATCGGCCTGCCGCATATAGCAGTAGAGAACTCCTCTCATGCATTTGACGGCCGAGTGTTCCAGCTCGTGGGTTCTTCCCTGGTTATCGTCAATGCGCCTGGGGGAGAGAGATAACTCATGAAAGAAATTGGAAATGGACATGAAAAGGAAGCAGAGCTTTTGATAATGAAGTATTTAACTATCCGGCTAATCCTGTGTTCTGGCGACATCTACTAATTCTGTAACAGTGGAGCTCCATCTTCCTAGTAGATGTAAAAATGTTGCAATAAAAAAATCCTATGATGAAAATGTGTGCAGATTTCTCCTTCTTTCAAGGAAGTAAGCCAATTGCTTTAAAAATAGCATCCAATATTTTCTACATTGACTTGGCTGAAATTTTAAGGAATATTTCTCTAGTCGAACAATCTACCAAAAGCTTTTTTAAACTCACAGAGTAGAGGCAATTCTTTAATATCAATCCCTTCAGGTTATGCAACGGCCACTTGGATTCAAGGAAGCACAGATTAGGGCAGGGACGTGCCTTTTTTGCTGCGTCACATGTTTCCTAATGCCTGGGTGGGCACCTGAGTCAGGGGTGCCTTCAACTAAACACACATCCAGAATGACACGTGACGTATTGGAGCATGAATGTCTATATGTTCAGGTCTGAGTTTAAAATCAATGGACCCCAGTTTACATCACTTGCTTTCAAAAATGAAAGAACTGCTAAAATCTAACTATTAAACTAGGTTAAGATGTTCTTCTGTCCTGTGGTTCCCTTTTTCTTATGGATCAGTGACCTTCGAAAGGCAGATGAGAGTTACCCACCACTAAAAAATAAAAGTAGCTTATTTATTGTTTCACTAAATCTTAACTAAAATATCTGGTGCTCATCCCCACTTAAAAAAAAGTATCACCAGGCCGGCCGAGTGGCGCGATGGTTAAGAACTCGCTTGGGATGCCAGAGGGCCCCGGTTCGGATCCCACATATGAGGGCCAGTGACACTGCCCTCTACAGCTAAGATGCTGAACAACAGCTCAACCTGGAGCTGGGCTGCCGTGAGTCGCTGGCGACGGCGTAGGCTGCAGTCCCTGTAGCAGTGGGTTGCCATGGGCTACCGTGTGTAGCCAGCAGCCAGCGTGAGCGGCCAGCAGCCAGCGTGAGCGGCCAGCAGCCGCAGTGAGCGGCCGTCCAGAAGCCGGCGACTGATCTGCCTCGCCAGGGAAGAGCGCAATGATGGTGCCAACTTGGGCCAGTGAAGCAGTGTCCTCCACAACTAGATTGAAGAACAAAACGACAGCAACTTGTCTGTTCCCCTTCCCCTAATTCCCCAGTAGTGTTTCCATCCCCCCAATTACCCAATAAAAATCTTTAAAAAAAAAAAAAAAAGTATCACCCATCTCCTTGAAAAGTGTACTATAATTACCTCATCTCCCAACTGCAGGTCTCACGTGCCACTGCTAGGAAGAATGATGATCATTGTAACATAGGATGGTGAACGTCAGTAAAAAGCTAAGTTTTCCTCATTAGAACATCGTTCCTCCTTTCACATGTAGGCACTGCAGTAAAACTAGCATGATTTTGCGCTATGCTCTATTTTTACCCCGATGTCAGACACAAGGGTTTTAATGGAGGCAAATTACAGCATGGATAACAGGGGATCAGACATTGATACATGGAGGAAACAGCACAGTGGGAGTATAATGAGCTCAATGAAATGTTCTGTGTATAATTCCTACCTCATCTAAACAGTAATAATAATAATTCAGAAAAAAATCAAGTTTTTCTAAAATTGTCTCTAAAATAATTCTCTGCCCCTATTTTCAATAAGCATTAAACCAAGACTAATATATTCTAGAATAATTCAGCCACAATAAAGAATCTTTGTATCTTAATGATGTTCTCATTTCTCCCTTCTTTTGCAAATAAAATAGTAACCATAACATTTCTCTTCTGTCTGAGGAAGTAAAACAGCTGCATTTGAGTAAAAACATTTAGGCATCAGGATATATTTATGATCTTTCCTAAAATGTAAAGTGAACTCAGTGACCCAAAATCATTCCTCTATTTTCTACCACGAACTGGCGATTCTGCTTTTCTGAGCAAGCTCTGTGGGTGCAAATACAAGTTTTAACATGATCTGAAGGAGGGTGGGATGATGGGAATAAAATAACATAAAAATTATGGAAGCATAAAAAAATAAGACGGGCGTTGTCTTCCTCATTTAATAATAAATCTGGAGGTAGGATTTTTTACATTAGGAAGAATTCCTCAAAACTTAACCTGTCAATATTTTCTCTTCAGGAACTTGTATCTATCTCATTTGGTAATGAATGCATAATATAAAATTTTATTTTTCTGACTGCATTAGTTTTCAATAAGTCTTGTCAACAATCTCATGAAACCTTGAAACCTGTTTAAATTTGTTTGTGTATGTGTGTACTGAGGACTTTAAAAGATTATTTTATGCACATTTATAGCTCATACCCATTTAAGAGTATAATTTGGTATTATTTTTAATTAGATACTGTCAAATTTTTGTTAGAAACAATGAAGTAATTTATTTGCAAAAATACACTTTGAAATAATTTGATTTTCTTAAATTTAATGTTATAGTTCACTTTATACTTTTGTTTCAAAGGAAGGAAGAAAAGCTTACTAATGTATGATTTTTTTAAATGTCGTCTATTCATATATATCAAGTGTAGTTTCGAATGGCCATCATTTTAAATTATAATTACATTACACTAATTATGTATAATTAATATAATTAAATATAACATACTTACATTTTATTGTTCTTATAAGTACAACTATTATATTATTTTATTTTATAAATAATTATACACTTTTGGTTTACATGGCTCATGTTACAACTGTTTCTGAACCTACTCAATATAACAAAAATCTGTTAAAAGGAAGTTGAATCTATACTCTGTGGCATATTAAAAAGTATCACGTAGGGTTTTTGCATTGCTTGTTTTTAATATAATGTCTGGAAAAAAACATGACTTTAAATTAGGGCTTAAAAATGGAATTTTACTTTCTTTACTTTTTACATTTGAGAAGGCTAGTGATTGTTAAAAGAGTCTCAATTTGAAAGGGTACTTTCAGATGGGTTAGTTAACTGTGTATGTCTTGGGAAAACAAAAACTCGAGGCAAACGTTGACGAGACACCTGGCAGCACTGGCCAAGGGGGAAAGGATGTCTTCCTGCGAGAACGCCTCCTGTCCCCTCCCTGTGGCATAGTCATCACTGGCTCAGGAAGTGAATAAAACAGATGGCCCTAGTTAGTGCCAGTAAACAATGAAGTTGCATGGCTACTTCTACCATATAATATTCCGATTTTATTTTCCTTGAAGTTTGCCTGTGGGGAAATAATACACCAATGATAGGGTTCAAGGGTTAATGTCACCTATTTATCAGATGTGTTAAGCCTTTTGGGAAAAAAACCAGTACTCTTGCATTTTTTTAAGCAATTTTCCCCCAACATTTCCTTTAGAAAAGTTTCAAATCTACAGAAAAGCTAAAAGGATACTACAATGCATGAACCTTTTACTCTTCACCTGGATTCACCGATTGCTAAAATCAGCTTACATTCTCTATCTATAATGTATTTTCTGGGCTATTTGAAAGTAAACTACAAACATCATCACCCCTACACGTTAAAGAAGTATCTCCTAAAAACAAGAACGTTCTCCTACATAACCATAATATCATTATCACACCCAAGGAATTTAATATTGATACTATATCATCTAACATATACTCTATACCAAATCTACCCAATTATCCCCCAAATATACTTTACAGTGTTTTTTGAGTCCAATCAAGGATCATGCATTGTATCTGGTTGTCATACTTCTTTAGTTCTTCTTAACTAGCCATTTTCATACCTGTTTTCTGATCTTCTATTACAGCTGCATTTTTTAAGAGTCCAGGCAAGCTGAATTATAAATAGCCACAATCTGGCTTTATCTGATTATTTATTCACAGGTAGATTCATTTAAACATTTTGGTAAGAAGTCAACATGGGCGATGTGCACTTACAGCTATGTCACATCAGGACGCACCCAATGTCAGTCTGCCCCACTACTCGCATGACCACTGGATAAGGTGCTACTGGAACTCCCTGTACTCCTCAGGCCAGTGGTAGCTTCACATTTAATGAAGCTGTACTGTGCCTCCATAAACTATGTAAAGAAACGCTTGCAGGACATTAGCAAACAGGGTGCCAAGGTGATATTATCTCAGTGCTTTATATTATCTCAGTCTTTGATTTTCCTGTACAAATACAACCCATCAAAGATGTATAACAGAGGGATCGTTTTTATGTGAAAGATACAGTTTTCAAATCAGAAGTATATGCATGTATCAGCTTTAGAAAATTAATATTCAGAAGCCTAATCTTAAAAATGTGAACACACCATGTGATATACAGATGATGTATTACAGGACTGTACACTTGAAAGCTAAGTAATTTTACTAACCATTGTCACCCCAATAAATTTCAATTTTAAAAAAATGGTTAAAATGTATTATTACTATGTGGCAGGACCCACGTTGGATGCTTTCCATATACAATAAAATAAAATTAAGGAGAAATTCTGTATTGTGAAAGGATTTTTTTTTTACTTTATAAAGTAATTCTTTGGCTCACAACAAGTGATACCCCAATGAAGTGCAGTGAGAAAAACACTAACGGGGGTAGGGGGAGTCCTGGGCCTGGTTCTCTCATTAACTAGTTGTGTAATTCTGAAAAAATCTTGTAACCAAATTCTGGGCCCCAGTTTTATCATCTGCGAAATTCAATCACCATCAATTGCCTCTGTAATTGACACCAACCAACTCAAAGAGAACGGCAGTTCATTCTGCCCAAAAGTAATGCTGATTTGCAAACCTAGAGATGAAAAATGTTGGTCTAAAATGTTAAAACTAGTCTCATGGTTTTCCTCAGTAGGAAACTAGGAGGTTCAGAGACCTAAAAGAAGATGTGAGCAGCCACACGTCACACTGAGCCAGCAGCAGAGCCGAAAGGCAGCTGAGCAGCTTGTCGTGGGCGCACACACCCTCGGCCTGGACTGGACCCGCTGGCAGAGCGTGCCCAGCTTACCTGTAGGCGAGGGCTAAGGCCCAGGCCGCAGCAGCGCAGTACAGGCTGTCCTGGATCTTGGCCTTCTGGTCGTCACCGCAGGTTTTCGTGGGAAAGAGACCTGTGGTTGGACTTTGATACAGCAGCAGCGTTGACTTGACTGCAATGGGAGACAAGAAAAAGAACGAATGCTACAGCCACCATTTCCCTTGCCTCCTCAGCCTCATCCCACTTCTGACAATTTTGTTGTTTCTAAACTTAGCTGTGTAAAACTTCCGAGGAGGCAGAAGCAGCTTCAGCTGATCTCTTTAGCTAGTTATGGCTACAAAGATAATAAAAGGGCATCATAAAATATATACCAGAATCTCAACCAAAATAGGTTGAGCTATGTGAAGTTGAAACACACAAAAAAGTCCTTATCTTAGGGTAGACAAATACATCAAATTTTATATTATTTGCCATACTAGGGCAAGTAAACGGCACATGAAGCAAACTGACAAGAAACTAATAGGTCTTTCCAACCTACAGTCTGATGAAGAGAGAAGTCCCATGCATACGTACCTCAAAGTTGCCTACTCACACTAAAAAGCACAATTTGCCAGACTGACCCTGCCCACCCCCATTATATATAAACATCAGGAATCTGATATTAGTAATAGTCACCTGAGATTACCCTTTGTATCTCAGTGAATTAGAAATGGATGTAAAGCGGTCAGGACTACCTCGGAACCAGGTGGGAATCAATGAGCAAGGGATCCTTCTACCAAATCGTTGTTTGTGTAAGCACCAATCAAGAAACAGCCTCTGGTTCTCAAATCTAGTCATGTTTAGGAAGGCTAAAAGGACACAGAGGGCATTGGTGACAGCCTTCAAATTATTCAAGGGACAGCTTTGGCTTGTTGGGTTCCTCTTCCAGTCCCGGTATCCACATGCAGTTGGAAAACATGGCTGCCTAAGCTCTGAAACCAGCACAACATCCAAACGAGAGCGCATCGCCCCCACACCAAGCGTGTGACAGAGCCCAGGCACAGTGAACCCCAACCCCGGCCACCATGTTTCCCTCCGATTTGCTTACCAATTCTGTAATAATGATCCAGTTTCTCCCACAGAGTTTCATTACCAGGTCTCGGGAGATCAATGCTTTTAAGAGGTTCGTAAACTGAGCCTAAAAAGAAGGAAAACTCATCAAATTCAGTCACTTTCACCCAGATAAACCAAGAAAACTTCCAAACAAATGAAGAAGCGCTCCTTAGCAATCTAGTTTTCGACTTTTATATGTGAACTATCGTATTTCACTACTGTTCAAATTTTTGGTGGGGGAAGGAGAGGGAAGCACCTGTTATGGGATAGCCTCGCCCGCTCCCCTGCAGTCAATCCATCTAACTCGTGTGTATACGGTCCTGACAGCTCACGTGTCACCAATACTCAGCTGGCAGTCACTAGCCCAGTAATCTCAGTTCCCCATGAGGAACACATCCTCTAACATGTACTGAAGCCCACACATTATCCCTTATGTTCTCACTTCATCATGTGCTTTGCTGTCAAACGATCCTATCCCCAAAACCTCAAGGAAGAAGGGAACACTGATGTTCTGACGTCATCCCCTCCATGAGTGTTCAGATCATTTCCACACTGAAATTCTGAAGCCTCCACTTTCTCCTGGATAGGCAATCCTCTTGCCTCATTCTCTGGACTACAAGCAGGAACCACGTCTACTTCTCGACCATGAAAGCTACGCCAGTGTTAGCTGAGCACACTGCTCAAAAGCTACAGAACACACAACAATCGTGATAACTTGCCACAAAATGGATACAGAAAATTGTTCACCTGACTAGCAGTGTACGAGTACTTTCTCACCTGTGGAGTGAAAGGGTGCATCCGAACCCTCAGCCATCAGACTAAGTACTGCCTCTCATTCTTGTTAAAAGCACTCAGAAATCATAAACTCAAGGTCATAATTAATCCACCTCTGGATTTAGGAAATGCATGTCACATAGTCTGACAACACAGCACAAGGATGAACTTGTAATTTACCGGGGTCGGGTGGGGGAGGGACGGAGGGCAGGAGGGGTATCGTGTCGGCATGCATTAAGAAACTGTTAGAGAAATCAAAACATTTATGGTCAGAACATTGCTATGGCCACCACGCTTGTTTAAAGCCAAGGTGTTAGGAATCTCTTGATATTTAGGCATATGGTCAGCATTATGAAGAAAGGAAAGGCTCTACACACTTAAGCAATGGTCCCATTATCTTCTATTGGAGAGAGCTGAAGCGTGGATAAATAAGTACCACAGGATACTCTGCGCTGAGTGAAGAGATTTCCTGCGAAAGAGCCTTCACAATGCCCCCAGAATGGCCCCCCAGTGAAGAATGGGGAGCACCTGTGATTCTTGTTTTATGAAAATGGGATCATGAAATATGCCCATTCTGCATCCCGCTTCCCACACTTAACAGCACACGTGGAATTCACCAAAGGCAATGGTTCTGTCCAATGGCTGCTACATCCTCTGGGGTGTGGAGACGGTCTGGCTTAGTCAACTATTCCCGTCAGTGGGTATCTCATTTGTTTCCTACGTTTGCCATCATAAACAATACTGCAATACATACTTATACATGGATATAGGCAGAAGTACGTGAGAGCCAGCCAGTTCCGGCCAGGAGATCCAACTGTCAGATTTTCAGGGATTTGGCGAGCTGGTTACAAAACACAGCCATAAGTAAAAATTAAATTATATAAACTTACAACTAAATAATTATTAAAAACAAAGGTAATACATATTCAGAACTCAACACTTTCTTATTTATTTTACTACATCTCACTATTCCATGCGTTCTTGAGTTTATACCCGTATGTCCACATTGGAAACACCATATACCAGCCCGCAGGTTACAGCACATCTCTTTCTGACTCTGCATTGTGACGTCATGTGGAATTGAGTAGTTGCAACCAGAGTCATACGGTCCACAAAGTCTATTTACTCTCTGGCCCTACATAGAAAAAGTTTGCCTATCTCTTGTCTGAATTTCCAGTAATATTGAATTAAAAGATAAATGTACCTTCTACAAGATAATGGCAAACTGCATCTTTAAAAAAAGACTAAAAATTTTCACATTCCTACAAGCAAGTGTTCTGTTCTTTTAAAAGTTCTCCACTCTGATAGGAGTCAAGTACAGCTCACTCTTAGTTAACTTCCCACTCCCGTTCTATCAGTGAGGCTGAGAACCTTTTCCAACTGGCCTCGTGGGTTTGTTCTTCTATTGAGTTGTCAGAAAAGTCATGACGTATTTTTTCTGTTTTTCGTTGCAAAAATGTGTCATGACTTTTCCCACAACCCAACAGAACTGCCTACACCCTACTGCCCTTGGCCTTCACCTCATTAGTGATTATGTCATCAATTTCTAAGCAGAGCTCTTTGCGTGTTTTGTTTGTTATTTAACATTCCCATTTCAAATATTGTCCCCTGAGCTTTCATCAATATACCAATGTTACAATATAAAAATTTTTAATAATTGAATATGTCTCTCTTTCCTCACTAGGTTCTAGTTTTCCTTTGTTTAAAAAGATTTGACAACCCCTAGGTTACATATATAGCCACCTCAGTTTTCTAAGTTTTTTATTATTTTTTTCTTAAAAAAATCCCATTTAGGTATTTGATCCACTAGGAATTTGCTTCAGAAACTGCTTTTAAAGTAAGTAGTTAATTCCATACTTTTTAAAAAGATCAAATTGGTCCAGTTTTTTTTTTTAGGTTATAAAATATTGAATAGAAAGATGCATTTATCCTAAATTATAAGCAGAGAACATCCCAAATTATGGGGTTAAAATAGACATTTCCTCTTAAAACAATTACAAATTTTCAAAAGCTACATTAAAACTCTAGTATCTAATAATGTAGCATTTGGCCTACATATATTTTCTCAGATATAACAAATTTCATGCAAGATTTCAACTCTATCATGGACATATGATGTTTACAAATAGCTTAAACAGAAGTCAGCATTATGTGTGGTTACATTAAGGTCTCTAAAAATCTCCACTGCCTGGGGCAACACATATTGATTTGTAAAAAAGTATTTTATGTAGCACTCGATACTGGATATTGACACAAAGTTGAAACAAAGTAAACAGCATACTTTTATTTTTCTAGGGTTCTTGGGTTCTGGCAGAAAAACACAAAATCTGTGAAAGTAGAATCTTGCCCCAAGGAAAGAATCAATATCTCCTCTCTGCATTTTATAAATAACTCGCTAACACTGGGAATTGAGCAAGTTGAAATCCACCAGTTCTAATGGTTGCAAACTTAGGATCTTCTCCTGCTTTAGCTAATGGTGAGCAGCTGGTTTTATAGATACAGGACAAGTTCAAGTTGTGATTTTTCAGTCAGGAACAAGTCTACGAAAGCTTAGGGAGTAAGCTGTGAAGACTGTGAAATGCAGAGGCTAATCCACTAATAAGAAAGGATGGACAAAGAGGCCGTCCAGAAGCAAAATCCCTGCGCTAACATGTTCCACAGCAAGGTAACGAGACCTAAGTAGAACTTGTATTGCAGAGGGTCAAACAGCTCCACAGTTTCAGGAGGTGTGTGGATTCCTTGTACAAGCGTAGAGAAGGTGAGAAGGGCAGGAAGGGGGCAGACCAAGTAGGCATGGGAGAGCGGAGAAACAGCTTTGTATATGAACATACAAAATATATGCAGACCACATCTGTGGTTTATCAGTAAATTATTAAAGCATTAGTTTTTGAGCTGCTAAAATAGCAAGGGTTCCCAGAGAACAACAACCTGTATGTTTATCCTACATATCATCTATACATGATATATTTTCAAGCAATTTTGAAATTTAAATTACATCATTAACTTCAGATGATAACTTCTTGATCTTACAATTCCTTTTTACTCCTCCACTGATTAAAAAAGAGAAGGGTACTAGAAGGGACGAGTTATTCCAACACCTTCTCAACCTTGTATCCCTAGTGCTGGGACTAGGAGGTCTCAGTAAATACTTACTGAATGAAACTGGGTGGTCCCCATGATTGGGGGAGGTCTTCTGAAATTCCCACAGGCAGAGTTCATGGCTCCGCCTTTGGCATTCCTACAGCACTTTGTAAATCCCTTAACGACAGCTCTTGCTCATCACAATACACTTTCTTTTCACTATTCAACTAATGTATTATACCACACTGGAAGCTGATCGGACAACTGGGACTGTCGCTAATACATAGTAGATGGCAGTGAATGTGTGGTAGGAAGAAAGTAAAGAAGGAGAAAAGCTGACAAAAACGTGTTTGAGAAGATTTTTGATGATCAGTTTACAGCTTTATTCTCTCAGGCCACCATATCTCCTGCTACTGCCCCATCCATATCATTTGACTTAACGATCAAGTCCCACCTCATCAGATTTCCATGATGAGGCAGTTGAAAAACGTATCTTACTAACTTGAGAATAGATACATACTAACTTTTATAGTTGATATGAATAGACTGTACATGACTCAGCACTTTGAGCATCTTCAAGGCCACCAATATCTCCTTGCAAAACAAAGAAACAAAACTGAAACCATTAATTTCTTTACTCTTCAGTTCATCCATGCACAGAAATTTAGAACACTAAGGAATAAATGTGCCCCCAAGACGGGAACGAATACATTAAGACACCTCCATTCAATAAAATACCTTGAAACTGTTAAAGGAATGAGGTAGATCTATTTGTAATATCATGAGACCAAAAATATATAGTGTGAAGAAGCACTGTCATAGAACAAGGCATCCAGTATGATACCACGTGCTGCAAAGTAGCCAAAATAACTATACATGTGTGATTTACAAATGTGTATGCATATATGATTAACTAAGTACTTTGAGAAGCCTAGAAGGATACACACCAAGCTTAAAAATGGCTACTACCAGAGAGAGGACAAGACTTTTACTCTATAGAGCTCTGATCATCTATTACGTAAGAATGGATTCGTTTATTACTTGTATAATTTTTTAGATGAGAAAGGGACATTTTGAATGCCTACTCCTATGCATTGTACAAGACACTTACACACATGGTCCCATTTCACCACCCTGACAAAGCTATGAGGCTGGCATTAAACGGAGGCATGGCAACCTGAAATCGGGCACAGCGCTCTGGGAGAACAAATGGTGTGTGTGCTCTTTTCCCTGTACCATGAGACGTCATCAAAATGCTTGGCTGAGAAGAGGTAAGAGCCCTAAATCCTTGTTTTTCATTTTCTGCCAACAGGCTGCAACAAAATTATATGTGTATGTGTATGTATATACAGAGGGTGCCAAAAAAATGTATACACATTTTAAGAAAGGAAAGCTGTATTAAAATTGTAATACTGTATATACAAGTATACTGCTAGCAAAAGATGAATGAATACAAGGCACGTTTGACTTCTGCAATTACAAGAGGTGTTCAAAGTGGTTCCCATCAGTGTCCAGACACTTCTGATTACGGCAAACTACTGCTTGAGCAACGTTGACCAAAGTGTCCACTTTATACATTTTTTTTTTGCATCCCCAGTATATATATGCATGTACAGTTTTCTATGCTTAACCCCAATTTATTATCACAGTTCATCCGAACCCTCAACTTTTTAAGCCGATATGTTTCTCCATGGCATGTTGGGTAAGAAATATATTTTAAATGTAAAATATGAAATGGCAAATATGAAATAACACAACTTTATAAAAATGAAGTAAAATTTGCCTATTCAACTTATCCAAATAAGATGTGAAAAGGCCACTCCACTGTTCCCATTTTATTTCTAATAAAAAGTTCTCCCAGTGACCTTTATAGAAGGAGCACAGCCTATAAAACCTGTTTAAGGATGTTAAATCTGGTTGGTGCTTCATGTGCTGACCTTATGAACACCAGTCACTCAATTAGCTATTTCATTTTCCTGTCTTACTTGTAGTCTACGAGAGCACCTGGTCATTAATGCACCATGAATTTGCATGATTTCTGAGAGGGAAGAGCTGTATTTGAACAATTTTAATCTTCCTAAAAAGTTTTTGGAAGTCCTTTTTATCAAAAAAATAAATACATTCAGCAGTGACTCAAGTTCTTACATTTTCTCAACAGTGGTTGTTTCTTTCACTGTTGAAACCCCAATGCCAACAGTGTCTGGCACACACTGAGCACTGAATAAATATTTATTGAACAAATGGAATTCATATCCTCTGATATCTGAGGTTTGCCAAAAATTACTTGGAATTGGCTACAATGAATCAGATGATTCATCAGGGCAGATGAAGTTAAGTAACCTGTTATGACCACAAAGTCATTCAACTTGGTCTACTCTTCATTTTATTCTTCTGTTCCATTCTTCTATTGCTCATAAAGGAGGATCTGAAGGAAATTATAAAAGGATATGATTTTTAAATGATTTAATCACTAGAATAAATGTATATAGCCTTACAAGGGGGTCACTTGAAAAGGATAATACTAACCAGAACATATAAGATTTCTCAAGAGAAGCCCTGAGTCATAATTTCATACTTATACTACAAGTGAAATGTTTAAATTCCAAACTTCTAAGGGTTAAATGATAGAGTCTTAGTTCAATATTAATTGAATTATATGGAGGGGGGGAAAAGAACTTCACGATACACCATTCCCAATCTTTACAGGAAATATTCTATTTTATTATGTCTTTTGTTATTATAGTCATAAAAACATGTGAC